AATACTAAAAACTACTTTTTCTATATATAACACTAAACAATCACTTAAAAACTTTCATTATTTAACTTTGCAAATTGATTTGGACCAANTTTTCATTTTTTGAAATGTATTTAGAATATCCTTATTAAGAAATAATACTAAAAACTACTTTTTCTATATATAACACTAAACAATCACTTAAAAACTTTCATTATTTAACTTTGCAAATTGATTTGGACCAACTTCATCGTCCCCTAAGAAAATGATAGAAAGAAAATGTACCATGGAACATACTTAGAGGAAAAATATTGTTAATGGAACACAAATTTTTAAGCAAAAAATGCATAAAAAAGTTTACTCGGTTTAAAATAGAGGCTGCTGAAGTTCGAACCCATGATCTCTCCTATAAAAGAGGAACACATGACCAAAAGAGCTAGCAAGATATATCTGCCAATCAGCGTCATTTCAACTTATTTAACAGGATATTGATAATTTACATATTTTTAGTGAATTTTTCCGGCGAAGTGGTGTCGGATGACACCTTTTACACCAAGGTGCATCCGCCCCTGCATGTAACACTGTAACAAGTTGGCTAATTAAAAGTCAAGACTAGCAGTTTAGTTGTCACTGCTATAATAATTGAAGGAGTTTAATTAGTTCTATGCGAAAGGAAAAATAAGCGAGCCCTTAACCCCGTTTGACTGTAAAAATGGCTCTGAACGCGCACGTTAAGCAGGGTTAGCTAACGTACGCACACAACCATGGCTTGACGGAAATCTCAAGGCACTGCACCGCCTACAGTACCAGAGACGGAAGGAGGAAGTAGACTGGTAACACCGGAATCTGGAGTATCCCAAGAATTAGGGCAAATTCAATTGGTCCAACGGACGACAGGAATGGGGAGTGCCCCTCCGGTGATGCAAGCTTCAAAATGTAATGAAATGGAAGTTCCCAAAAAAGCAGAAGTAGATGCAAACACAGCGGCAAGCAAATTGACTTTCTCGACGCAGAAAGTAAACCCTAGCCAGTCAGTGCCAACGATGGCTGATGTAGTGCAGGGGAATCAATCTCAACAACAAAGGCTTAAATTGGAGTACTAACCGCCGATAATAAAGGAAAGGATGAAGGTTGTTAGATTGAATCAAATTGAAGTGGATGAACAAACTCAGAAATGAAAGGCATCTCTAATTGGGTATGTTCTAGGTGGTTCACCCTCATTCAAAGAAATGCTTAAGTTCGTGTATGGTGTGTGGAATTCAATCATTACTCCGTAGGTATATCTACACAATGAGGGCTATTTCATTTTTCGATTCAATTGGGAGGAGGATAGGAACAGAATTATCCAACAAGGGCCCTACATGTTTCAAAATTGACATGATCTTAAAAAGTGGGAGCCTGACTTTCAGTCGAGCAAGGAAATGACTAGAACTGTTCATATTTGGGTAATATTCCCATGTTTACCAATTCAGTACTGGACAAAGGAGAATTTGGGTCGAATTGCAAGTTACCTAGGGAAACCTATATGTTCAGATAAGCTAACAGCCCAGTGTGATAGAATTTCCTATGCACGGATGCTTGTAGAAATGGATATCTCACAGGAGCTGCCTGATAAGATGCTGATTGAAGTGGAAGGTGGAAAATGCAGAGAACAAAAGCTGGAATATGAATGAAAACCAACATATTTTTAGGAGTGCCTTCAGATAGGGCAACATACAGAGGAATGCACAAAGATACAAGTAGCTCAGAGGTAGGCTGACACTCAAGAAAATCAGATGCCACCCAAACAACAGCAAGTGAAAGCAAAGAGACACCAGAAAAAGAAACAACCAACAACCCAGTGGAGAGTGAAGGTTGTGACTGAGCAATCCCGTATACAACAGAAGGCTATACCTGAACAATCCTCTAATCAGGAGGAAACCATAGTAGCAGAACTTCCACAACAAAAGGATAGAGGAAAGCAGATGATGAAGACTCAAGAATATGTACAATAGAAGGGGGCCTTATTAGATGCAAACTTAGAAAATCTGTTGAGAAGAAATAAATACAGTCCTTTGAGAATTAAAGATGATAGCAACACTGACAAGGTGACTGAAGGGGTTGACCTCAATGAGGAAAATCCCCCATGATAATAAGCTCGTGGAATATAAGAGGGCTGAACAAGCCCTTCAAGCAGAAAGAACTCAAGGCATTTCTGCTGGAAAATAATATCACTCTACTGGGCTGCCTTGAGACAAAGATAAATCCTAGGAGTGTTACTAAAGTTTGAGCTAAATTTAGTAAAGATTGGAAGGTGTACTCTAATAAAGCTATCAATGAGAGGGGAAAGATCTGGCTATTGTGGAAAGAACAAATAGTGCATGTTCATATAGTGATGGCTAGTTATCAACTGGTACATTGCAAGGTGAAAGATAAAAGTTTACAATTTACATGCGACATAACATTTGTGTATGGAAAGAATACTATAGCTGAAAGAAGGAACCTATGGGAACAAATAAGACAAATACATAATAATATGCAAGAGGCGTGGTTGGTTATAGGTGACTTCAATAGTGTATTAACTGTTGATGATCGAATCAATGGGCAACCTGTGCAACAAGCTGAATTGATGGATTTTCAAAGATTTATAGCTGACACTGGTTTGGGACAACTTAACAGGAAGAGTTGCCAATGGTCTTGGTGTAATAAGAGGGAGGCAAAGCACATGATTTATAGCAACATCGACTGGGCCTTTGGCAATGCCTTTTGGCTTACACGATATAGTAGTCTTGAAGCTATATTTGAAAAGCCTGGAGTATCAGACCACTCTCCTATTATCATTAACACAGAAGTAGTCAAGTCCTAACTGCAAAAGCCATTTAGACTCTACAATGTGCTACTGAATAATAAGGAGTTTGAGAAAGCTGTGCACGATGTGTGGTGTCAACAAATCAGGGGCATACTGTGTACTCTATATGGGTGAAATTATAGAGATTAAAAGACAAGGCAGGGCGGCTGAATAAAGAGGTATCTTCATTAGAAAGGAGATGGACAATTTGTGGGTACAATTGCACATTGCTAAGGGAAACTTGATGTGGATCCATTTAATGGTCATGTGATCTCAGAAGAGAAATAATTGCTAGTGTAGATAAGAAAATGGGAAGGAATTAATGAGCAAGTGATGCGATAGAGATCTAGAGCAATATGGATAAAAGATGGAGACCAAAATATTAAATTCTTTCACGCGCATCTAAAGGTTAGTCAGGCTAGGAACATAATTGATTCTATTTACAATGATCAAGGATCTAGAATCGTTGAGCCAGAACTGATAGAGAAAGAATTTACAGGATTCTTTAAATCTTTATTGGGGAAGTCTGCTGCTGAATTGCCATGTATTATCAATACAGCCAGAAATGGACCTTGCCTCACTAATGAACAACAAGGAGAGCTCAATAGGCCAATAACAGAAAAGGACATAGATCAGGCCCTCAAAGATTTGTCTAATGAAAAAGCTTTACTAGGTATAGATGGATTTCCTGCTGAATACTTTAAAACAAATTGGGGTCTACTAGAAGTTAAACAAGCTATACAAGAATTCTTTGCAAATGGGAAGATGTTGAGGAGTATTAACTGCACTATAGTTACACTGGTTCCCAAAGTTAACAATCCTACATCTGTTAAGGAGTTTAAACCCATAACATGCTGCTCTATAATTTATAAACTCATCGTAAATATTATAACAACAAAATTAAAGACTGTGGTTGACTACATTGTTGTGCCTTCTTAATCAACATTTATAGAGGAGAGGAACATATTGGACAATGTTATTATTGCATATGAGTTGGTTAAAGGATACACTCAGAAAGGGGTCTTACCAAGATGTTTGATCAAAGTTGACATACAAAGGCATATGATTCAGTTGAGTGGCCTTTCCTAAAGATGATACAGATTGAATTTGGTATGCTTGTGAAGTTTGTACAACTTGTGATGGTGTGTGTGACAACTGTCAGTTATTCTCTTCTGATAAATGGAGGATTGACGACTAAATGTCAAGCAAAAAGGGTTTAGGCAAGGAGATCCAATACCTCCGTACCTATTTGTATTGGTGATGGAATACTTGAATCGATCACTGAAAACACTAGAGTGCATTCCAGACTTCAATTACCAACCGAGGTGTTTCAGAAAGAATATAACCCATATATGTTTTGCTGATATCTGATCATGTGCTGCAGAGCAGATAAGCTATCCATAAGCTTACTTATGAGTAGATTTCAACATTTTTCAGAGGTGTCAGGGCTTAAAGCAAATATGAAGAAAAGTACTTTGTAAATTGCAGGGGTACCAAGGGAATTTAAAGAACTAACCATCACAAAAATGCAATTCACAGCAGGTGAGTTGCCATTCAAGTACCTAAGAGTCCCTTTGTTCTCTAAGAAGCTATCTATCCAACAGTGTATGCCATTGGTTGAAAGGATTACTGCACGACTAAAATGCTGGACCACTAAATTCCTATCTTATAGTGGTCGGGCACAATTGATCAAGAGTGTGATATTTGAAATGTAGACCTACTGGGCGCAGGTTTTCTTACTGCCAAAAAAGATAACTAAACTGATCGTGACTTCTTGTAGAACTTTCTTTTGGACTGGGAGTAATGAACCTTCGAAGAGAGCACTAATTGCTTGGGACAAGATCTGTATACCACTCTCAGCTGGAGGTTTGAATGTATTTGATGTGTCTAACTGGAACAAAGCTGCTTTATATAAGATTTTATAGGTAGTCAATGAAAAAAAGACACCCTATAGATCCAATGGATACACAACTTCTACATCAAAGGGAAGGATATAATGACTATGCACACTCCTAAGCAGTCTTGCTGGCAACTTAGGAAAATATTTGACACTAGGGATTGGCTAATTCAAAGGGACCCCTCTATTGATTTGAATAAATACTATATAAAAGGGAAGTTCAGCATTAAAAAGTTGTATGTTGCAACAATGCCCCAATATCCTAAGTGTCATTGGAAAAGGATTACAATTGATTCAAAAGTATTACCAAGGCATCAATTCATATTGTGGTTGGCTATGCATAGGAAGCCAGCTACAGTGGATCGGCTTAGGAAGTGGGGACTATCAATAGCAAGTAACTGTGTGCTCTGTCGGAAGGACACCGAGGAGACAATGAAGCACCTCTTTTTTGCATGTGATTACTACAGGAATATGTGGGCAGCATTGTTAAATGGCTGGGAGAAAGACATCAAATTGGTAGCTGGAATGTTGAGATTGAATGGTTAACGAAGAGAAGTCATGCAGAGTTCGAGCTCACATGCTGGGCTCCCTGTTTGCAGCTATGATTTACATGTCTGGGCAGAGAGGAACCAACGAAGATTTCAAGGGAAGATGATATCAAGCCTTCAGAGGATGAAGAATATTATACTGAAGCTACACATACGAGGGCAAAATGAATCCAAATGGCACAAGGAATTAGAAAGATTGAGCAACTACCCTACTTAGACATGTATAGTTATATATAGAGATAGAAAGTAGAGGAGTTGTAGTAGATAAAAAGTGGTTGCTAATTCTGTTGTTGAGTCTAGCTCAAGAGTCCAATTGAGATAGCAGATTGTAAATATTATACTTGGTTAAATGAAAATTTTGACTGTTTGACCAAAAAATGTTTAGTTCCATGCGTGGACAGTGTACGTATATATTTTTTCCACCATAAGATAAATTAACTTACAATAACAACTACCTCTTCACATCAAACATGATAATCGATTTGACAAACTGAAAATAAAGGAAAAATTGCTATAAATAAGGTTAAAATACTTTATACTATCAGCCAGCGGTGGAGCTAGGTGGCATATAAAATAAAAATTATCATAATTATATGTGAGCTAAGTCATCACTAATAGAGCATTCGAAGGCTGCCACGCGTTATCGATGTGTTCTCAACAGAGGACGAAGTCGAGGTTGAAGTGAACCAACAAAGGATGAAGACGAGGTCGAGTTGACTCAGCAGAAGGACGAGGACGAGCACTCCCTTTAGCAGGGCAATAACGACTAGTTTTAAGATAAGACCTTCTAGAGAATATCCTCGAGAATATTCCTCCCATCTGTACTATTAGGATTTTTGTGGACCAAGTGCCTTTATAAATAGAAAGAAAAAGAATTGTAGAGGGGATTGGATATTCATTGTAAAAAATAACATATTGACATTCGGAAGATTCTTGCTTTTATCATTAACATACAAAATACACCGTTTCTTTAGATCCACGCCTATTTTTTCTCCCACAATCCAAGAAGGATCTGAATATTTTAAGGCTTATCATCATCCTATCAATTTTATCAGAGGGAATATCAAAGAATCTCACCCTTTTCGGATGACTCACTCGCATTTATTTACATAAATGCCATTCATTATCATTTATTGCTATTTAATGCTATCCTTTTTGTTCTTGGGCTACTGAATATTGCTTTACTGTTGCTCTTTATTAGTACTCGAATAGTATATATTTACAACATATCGTTATAAAATCAGTTAACGATCTTTTGAATATTAATATTGGCTAATATTAACTCTATTCTATTAGAAAATCTAACTGTTTAAACCTAGATCTAAATTTTGGATCAAACAGGTGGGCCGAAGAGGGTTCATCCGATATATATATATATATATATATATATATATATATATACACACACACACACCTGGCTCTGTCACTGCTGTCAGCGTGGATATAACTTCATATCAAGAGTTAATTTGAATCTCAGCTTCATAAAATCCTACAAATTATAGGACACATTTCAAAGATTTGAAAAAGAAATTGTAATTAATATAATAAATGGAACATCTTTCTTACAATTTTTTCAAATGATTCATTGAATTACAAAGAGTAACATTATCGTGCAACCAATTGTGTAATTGTTGCAGTGTCAACGTCTCCAATTTCCTGCACTGAGCCATTTGAATTACCAACTTCTTCATCTTCCCTCGTAGAAAATGCAGGCCTCTTTGGAGAATTCATAGCTAAATTCATATCTTTTAACAAATAAGAAACTTCTAACATTGTAGGCCTTTCCATTGGATCTTTTTGGACACATAATAGAGAAATTTGCATGCATTTCAATAGTTTACAAGATGAGGTTGTATCATCTAGTGATGGATCCATAAACTCCATGCCTTTACCATCTCTCCACATCTCATATGCCTGGACATTATTAAAAGAAAAAAAAAATCTGAAATTAGCTACGAACTTTGCCGCTAAATCGCTCCTAGCTAGCAATTTTTTCCGATAATCTATCATTAATTCATCGTTGAGTAGGATTAATGATGATTTTTCTGTTTAGCTATAGAATTTGCCCGTCGCTAATTCATATTTCTTTAGTAGTCACGGATGATAAAAGAAAAAGTCAAAACAAGCTTAATTAAATGATTTAACATATATACGCTGGTAGTGTAAAGTATTTTTATAGTATCAGTATATTTTTATCTGTTCTAATAGATTACCTATCGTACTTTATATGTTACAATCCCACTTAATTAATATGGATGGTTACTTGTTGTTCTCTATTAGATGACGTGATCGTATAAAAGTTCACTTATATTATCTGTATAAAAGTTAAGCTCTTAATTATAGGGGTTTATCTGGTATACACTAATAGGGTAAAAGATTTTTTATACTATGAGGTCATCTAAAATATAGCTACAGCCTACATGTGATTATCACGGGATTAGTAAAGTAGAATATAAAATAGACAACTTGCTATAAACTAGTTAAAATATATTGATAGTGTAAAATTCTTTGACAATATCAGTGTATTAATATAAGATAAACCCTAATTAAATACTTGTAAAAACATATAGGAGTATTGAAGTTATATATAATAACAACTTACGTATTCAAGAAGGTTTAAGTTTTCATCTGGACCATGTAGGCATGTATTCTTCTTTCCACTTATGATTTGAAGAAGAAGAACTCCAAAACTGAAAACATCAGATTTTGTTGAATAGATACCTTGTTCCACATATTCAGGTGGAATATAACCCCTGCAGCTCATTGAAAATATAGATATGGTAAATTAATTAAGAATATAATCATAATTCATAATTAAGAATGCTTTTTGCTAAGATATACATATGAATAAATGAGTCTAGCGATAGTTTAAGAAATTTATACAATATATTCAAATCACCCAAAATATATTTATAAGTAACTTTTCATAAATTAATAAAAAGAAATTATTTCTTGAAACTAAGTCAGGTTGCCTTCTACGACAAATAAATATAATTTGATAGTATAAAATTTATTTATATTGTCAATGTATATAAGTTAAACTCTAAATATATATACTACTTACATTGTTCCAACTACTCTTAGGGTATTTGCTTCAACTTCATCCTTCTTAAATATTCTTGCCATTCCAAAGTCAGAAATCTTTGGTTTCATATCAATATCCAATAAAATATTGCTGGCTTTCAAATCCCTATGAATAATTGTTAATCTTGAATATTCTTGGAGGTATAGGAGCCCTTGAATAATGCCTTCAATTACTTGAACTCGCTTTTCCCAATTTAGAAGTAATCTTCTGACTTTATCTATACATGAAAAATCAAGTCGATGGAAACAAATTAGAATAATGCATGGGAAAAAGAATTTCTTATTAGTAAAGTAAAAAATGAGTAACAATATTAGTTGATGTATATATACTACTTTCTCTCTCCTTTATTTTATGTGATATGGTTTGACTAGACATACATAGAATTTAAGAAAAAATGAAGATTTTTAAAACTAATATTCATAAATATGTCATAACATTTTTGTGGCTATATAAATATATTTTATTGCGGGGATTTCAAATTATATTATTCTCAAATATAGAAACGTGTTATTTTTTTAAAACAAACTATAAAAGAAAGAGTATCACATAAAATAAAGGAAAAATGACACTGTACAACCGCTGTAAAAATAATAGCCGATAAAATGTATAAAATTTATATTTTTTTAATTTTGTATATATATACATTATGTATGTTATATACAAAAATTATACAAGTTTTATATACTTTTTTTGCTACCGAATGTAAATAGTTTCTGGAGCGGGCCAAAAGTTATATATATTGAACTCAATATAAAAACATCAAAATAAAAGGAATAACTTACTATAAATGTAGTAGTCCAAGCTCTTGTTGGGCATATATTCATAGATCAACATCTTCTCTTTTCTTTCAATGCAAAAACCCACAACTTTTACAAGATTTATATGTTGTAATTTTGCTGTAAGGATCACTTCATTTTCAAACTCTTCCAATCCTTGAGTAGAAGTTTCTGAGAGCCTTTTCACAGCTATTTCTTGCCCATTTCTCAACATTCCCTAATTGGATTAATAAAACATCCTTAACATTTTTAATAAATATTGATAAATGTATTCATGAAGACAATTTGGAAATCATCTACTATAGAGAAAAAACAAGTAAAAGTTTATTTGCTCGCTAGAAAGTCACAATTGCGTATGAAGGATAATTAATAAACTACCTCTAAGATTACTGGATAGCAACAATATATATACACATATATACAGAGGCGGACCTAAGATTTGAGAATTATAAGAATCAGTGTCGAATAAAAATTTGAGTAAATGCTAGAGTCAGAATCGAACCCAGGCAGCACACTAAAAGTCAAGTTGTGCTCCCCAAATTGACTAAAACAACTATCTAAGATTTGAATCTTAGGATGTCATTCAAAATATATACTTGTTATTTAACATATATACATATATTTTTTCTGAAGTTATCGGGCCGATGACCCCCTACCCACAGGGTAGGTCCACCTATATATATATAGTTTTGGGACCAATGATCATTGACTCTTTCTAAGACCGGTAAATCAGGAGGTTAAGGGAGAAGAACTTGACTTTTATAACAATTTGATTAGTTGTTTTCATAAGAATTTACAATGCAATGTACAAGTTGACTAAAAATAATAAAAAAATAAAAAAAAATAAAAAAGTTGACTAATGCTCAACATGTTGCTAGTTTAAACGTGACAAGTTGGTCGAGCTGACCATGAACTGGCTCGACTCGGTAAATGTGGGACCCGCCTGATCCGGATCCCTAACCTTCCTACATCTAGTGATGAAATTCGGAATTTATCTAACGGAATTGAAAAAAAATAAAATTGACTCGACTGAACCCTTTCCTCTATCTAGCTTCAGGCTGCATATAACCTGAGAGTTAAAGCATAGCTGCTACAATAATAATAACAATAATCACGCCTCAATTCTTGCTATTTAACAAGACAAATCTTGAAAAATAGGTCAAAATGTTAATTACCTTGTAAACAGGTCCATATCCACCTCGGCCAAGCTCATTGTCAACTGAAAAATTATTTGTAGCTGCCTTCATCTCTTCAAAACTGAATACATGCAAATTGCTGCTCTCTCCCCCTCTTCTATCTTCATTTTTGCTTCCAATTTTGTTCCTCGGTATTCTTCCTATTTCCAATTAATATTCAGTTAAACACCAACATAAAAAAAAAAAAAAAAGAAAAAAAATGTAAAGAGAAGAAAATGGAAAAGACCTCTTATGCATCAATATTATGATGAAGACAACAAATATTTTTAAACCCAAGTTTTCCACTAAAATAAAGCTATTTAACCAGGTGGGGAACGAGGTTTACATTGTGCGCACCCAAAAAATAGCGGTTGTGGGTCGCCTGTTAACCAAAAAAAGTAAAGAATTACCTTGGAACTTAAATAGTTGTCTCCTTCTAAGACACCACAGTGTAAAAACAAGCAACAACAAGATCAATACTGCTCCAATTGGAATCAAAATGAGAATCACTCGGTTGAGTTTTTTCTTCTTGTGCAGTATTCCTGATTGATCAGTTACTCCTTCTTGTATATCTTCAACTTCTAAAAATGTAAACAAATTGTTGAGACATTCATTCATATATGAAGCAAGAATTGAATAACAAATGCATAATGTGATTATTCTAGCCTAAAGAACCTCTTGGTAGGCAGCGGTTTACCCAAGGGCGGAGCTACAACGGGCAAATGGTGGTTAGTTGAACCCTCACCGAAAAATTATAATGTATATATAAGTCAAATATTATTTTATATATATACTGTACAAGGCATCCCGTGTTCACACAGGGTCCGGGAAGGGCCGCACCCCAAGGGGTCTGATGTAGACAGCCCGTGTTCACACAGGGTCCGGGAAGGGCAGCACCCAAGGGGTCTAATGTAGACAGTCTACCCTAATGCAAGCATTAGTGACTGTCTCCACGGCTCGAACCTGTGACCTATAGGTCACACAAAAATAACTTTACCGCTTCTCCAAGGCTTTCCCTTCAATATGAATTCTTGAACGGTCTTAGCAAAATTCTTGTTTTCGCCCTTAGTTGATTTACTAAACTCATATTAATCTGGATTAATCTAGCCAGTGTATTCTGGATATACTAAATGTGCAAAAGAAGAATGTCATGATTGATTCATTACCTCCTGCAGCAGCCTGAGAAAGAACAGAATTCCAATCATATGAGACTTCCCATGCAAAATAGCCTCTCAAATGCTTCTCTTTTGCATATGCAACTTTGGTTTTCACTGCCTCAACATCATCAAAACCAACCCAACATGTCCCAACAGAGACATAATTCATCACATAACTTGCATTATACGACGCATTATTAGCTCGATATTTTATCATACCTCTCTTAATATCATTGAATCTTAACCAACTACTTATACTCGAAAACGGCTCATTTTCAGCTTCAGCACCAAACGAATAATCTTTAGGCCCCGGCCCTGTCCCCGTCGCGCTAATTTTATTATCTTTAGGACTAACCAACGTCCATACATAACCATAAAAGGGTAATCCTAACACAAGTTTTTGTGTAGGAAAACCTGATTTAATCCAAGCATTTATACCATAATCAGTGTTCAAATCACTATTCGAATCGTATAATGCTGCAACTGGAGATGTATTATTTGTTGACGCTGGATCATAATAATCAAATGCAAAAACATGTACCCAATCTAAATATTTCCTCATTGACTCAATTGGGAAACTCAAATCTTGAATCCAGGGTGTATATTGAACAGCCATGGTTAATAAAAGTTGTGATTTTTTCGAGTTCTTTGACTCGAAATCAATAGCAATTCTCCAATCATCCAAAAGGGTACCCAAATTTGTCATTTCTTGTGACGAACTAGGTGAAATCCAACAAAAATCTAGTCCATCAAATCCATAAAGACGAGCGATTTTGATGGAAGATTCAATGAAGAATTTTCTACCAGGAAAATAGGTACTGGACATTAATAAATAAATACCTGAGTCATAAGAAGATTGGTCTTTTCCACCAATTGATAAAAGAGTTTTAAGAGATGGATTTTTTTTCTTGACAATGGTATTGAAGTTTTTCAATTGTTCATCATCTGATATTGAGACAATCATTTGGTCTGTAGATGTATTGAAGTCAATATTAGCAAAGCCATAGATGAGGTGAGTGTAAAGAGTTGAATTTATGCTTTGAATATTGGGAGAGTAAGTTATATCATTAGCTTGATAATAACCAGCTTTTATCCAATTTTCTGCTGCTATGGAATTGTGTAGTTGAGATTGGAGAATTGTGTGGAAGAAGAAAAGAATGAAAATGTTTTTGCATGCCATAGAAGAGGTGGAAGAATGAAATACATTAACTCACTAGACAAGCATTTAACTTATATACAATTGTATGCACTGAGTCATTGATATTATGAGTAATTTAATACCATCAGTGTAATTTAAACTGTCATAAAAAAATGCATGTTTTATCTTTTAAGTAAATAGTATTAGTGTAATTTAAATCGCTGTAACAAAATACATGGTGTCTTTTAGGCAAAAAGTGTCACTTATTATAAGGGAGCTTTGGAGTAATAGTAAAGTTGTTTCTGTATGATCTATATGTCATGGGCTCGAGTCGTGAAAGTAACCACTAATGCTTGCATTAGGGCAGACTGTCTACGTGCTGCCCTTCCCCGGACCCTGTGTGAATAAGGGATGCATTGTGCACTGGGTTACCCTTTTAGTTTCACTTATTGTAGATTGTTGCGCAGTGACAATTCAACATACATGATGAGTTCCACGTTTAAGGTTCTTAGTAGTAAATCCTAAGTACTTTCAAAATTAGGGGTATAAATCAAATTTTATTGAAATTTTAGTGAATTTTCACACACATATATATATTTATGTTCCATCTCAAAAATACTAGGTTCGGATGAGGTTGTTTAAGAGTTGCATATGCCACTATTATTATATGTAGTTTTTTATAGATAATTTTATAATATATAAATTTTTTTATGTTGTCATTATTAAAAGTTAAACTCGAGTACTTTGACCGAAGAAAATACTTTGGTATTATTTTCACAAAGGCTCAAAGTTATTTCTAGTAAATTTCTCTCGAGTTCATGACCTGGAAAAACAACAAACGACTTGGAAAACTAGAAAAGGTTTTACAAGACAAGTTGAGATAATTGAACAATTTGTTTGACTTATTACTCTCTTCTTTCCTTTTCTTTTCTTTACTTTTTTTTTTTTGGTTGTTTTCTTTGCGAACATTCGACGACTTACTCTTCAGGTCAATGATCTTGTCTTGTCCAAAAATTTTAGAAAAAAAACACGTAAATTATTTCGAAACTGCTGTGATATTTTTCTTTTTACATTTGTCTCTAGCTATAAGTATCTTGACAAATATAGCCAGATACTACAATATATTTATTTGTGTACTTTCTACTTATATAGAAACGGGAGTTGAGGTGCTTTTCGTCGTCCTCAGGGTTATGTTGGGAATTCTGCTGGAGAATATCAACAGCTGCATTGGAGTTGGCAAAATTTTTGTGATGCCCTTGTTGATAGTTTTACGATTTCACTTTTGTCTCACTTAGTGTAAATAACAGTAAAACCAAGGACAAAGTTAGACTTGAAAAGGTGGCAGTACCATGGACCTACAACATTTGCACAAGCAAACACCTTTCATCATTTTTGATAATAATACGAAAACGTAACAAAATCTTAGGCTTTCAGTCCTTTCTCTCATCTCCGCCTGAAGCTCTCTTTCTCCGGTGGAATCTACATGTGAGTTCATTCTTTCCCTCTCACTACAACTCTCTTAATAGGTCTGTGGTCGATTAGGAATGCTTGGGCTGCAAATTTGAGTATTTTAATCTTTCTTTGGGTATCTTTTTGGTTTGTTGATTTCTTTTAGAAAAGGTTTGTGTTTGTTCGACACTTCATTTTTTTGGCACCGGGAACAACTACAGTTCCCAGGTTTCTCGTCGAGTTAAAGCGTTTATTTTGGATTTCTTCACCTTATAGGAACTGTGTGGTCACACAAAGTTCAATTACTGCCTATGAGCCATTAGAATGAGTGTTACCACTCGCTTTGCACTTAATTGGTGGAGTGTGAAGCCCAAAATTTATTTAATAGCGCCTCATTCAATAAAACTTAATAAAGAGCATGTAAATTTTTAATATCCACTTGGATTAGGAAGTGTCATAAGGGCAAAATCAGTGACATATTTGACGTTTCTATCCATTAATTTTTAGTTGTTATTTTGTTTGAAGATTGGTGAAGGAGCTGTTTTAGCTGGTCATTAGAGTATTTCGAAGAAGAAACAATGCTTCGTAGTGATTACGTACTTAGGTCTGGCTATGATTATGAAAGCTGTTGCCAAAAGAACTGACAATAGAGCACAATAGGGACGCATAATGAAGCCTAGCAATACTTTCTTTCATTTAAAGAAACTAACAACACGAATTAGCTAAGTAATGGTCTATGCTTCAGAGGAAATATAGAAACATCATGGTACACTATAAGCAAAAAAATTCATAATGATGTAAATAATAAAATTAAAATTATGATGAAAAAAGAAAAGCAAATGTAAATAAAAATTAGACCTATTCAATCACATGAAATCTAGAACTAGGATGAAGAAATGGATTTTCTCATATCCAGTTGACTTGTAAAAGCAAAGGAAGTTAAGCATTCATGACTCCAATTGATAAAGAGGATAAACGATATTATCTTTGTATTAGCGGCTGTGCTGATGTTGCTAATAGGAGGTTGTCGTAGTTAAAATTCTCAGAAATTTCGTGTATTTCTTATTTTTTGAAATTCAGAACTTTGTAGTTAAACGGTTGACACGGATATGAGAGGAAGCAGAGCACAATTTCCTTCTTTATCCATCTGCAAGAACATAATAATACGACAAACCAGTCTTCAATTTTCTTAAACATGCTCTTGGTTAATTGCAAGGAAGTTAGATTTGACACGCTATTATGTTGGTAAGATTTGGCTGAGGGTTTCACAAACAATTAGTTTTGTCCATTAACTATGGTCCTGAAGTTGCCACTTTATATCTATAGATAGAACGATGGTTATAACATAGATGGCTGCACTTCAAAATGATCAATAATTTCAGCAACTACGTGTCTCTACATTCTTACTCAAGCCTACAACGAAGAGCTTTCTGGTTTAGAATTTGATTATAGAAAGGTATATCTAATAATTATAATTCCCTTATTTTCCATGGGATTACCTGGATGAATGTGAGAATTGATTAGTGAACTATCAATTTGTTATCAAAGAAGGGAGTGTTGGAGTGATTTCATTCCCAAGCATTCAATGTCTGAAGGCAACAAAGTTCTATTTGATATGAAGGCTACAAAATAATTAAACAAAGCAGTTCAAATACAAGTAAAGATGCTTCCAAGGGACAATTCCTGTTAGGGGATAACTTACCTTCCTCTCATGTTAGGAAGGATAAACTTTTACACAGTTCCAAGGAAGATGTGGTGAAATTAATATGAAGGATATATTGTTACTGCATCAGTTATCCTTTGGCCATATATCAATATCAGGTCACCTTAATTATGGTTGCATGTGTTGCTTATAGCAACTGAAACAATAATATCAATTATGCTTTTTATTTTGTTGGCACTCTTGATCTGGTAATATGTAACGAATAAAGATGGATTGAATAATTCCTATTTCATGAATCATCACCAGAATTATAATATTGTAATAGCTCATAGAATTTGAGAAGGCGCAATTTGTTCACTTTTATGATCCTCATCAATATAGTATGTGGTTCTAAAAGGTTTACAATATGTGTAATAGCATCTTGTTTTTAAAATGATTCAGATATACTATAAAATAAACTTTCCTACTTAAGTATATTGTTGTCCATTGTTCAACTGAAAAGGTTTAAGGTGGATTTTGGACCATTATTAGAAAATAAATATTTGAAAAGTTATTTGCAAGAGTCTTTTAATGAATGTTCTTTAGTTCATTAGCAACCAATTGTATTTATAGTGGATTCGTAGGTTGTTTGTTGGTGATGAGTCAGTTTTTTTCCCTTGGTACTTTTCATTCTTTGTTTATTCAGTGATAATATATATGTATGTGTTATGTATCTGTGAAAGTCTCTAGGTATGCTGCACATATAATGAAACAAACCATATTGGTGAAGATCACTCAATTACAATGCATGCATGTTATGGTAGCGAAGAACAATACTACTCTGTTAAACTCTTAAAACACAAAAATAATTAGCTACAACATTAAGCATGTCTAAGAAGCCAAATTGACCATGGTGAGTGCCTTTTGGTGTTACTTGTTTTCTAGCAAAGAAAGGTACATTTGTTAGACTGGTCTATAACATCTAGGATTTGTTTGTTTTTTGGTTGCAAATCCTGCTATTGATAGTCTTAAGAAAGTCTTACATCAGTTAGCACACACTATCGTTTAGAGATAACTAGAGAAACATTATATTTGCTCCTTTTTTTCTTCTTCTTGTGTAGTCTAAATGTGATATATATACGCTGACATGACTTGAAGCAGCTCTCTTGAAGTATGTCACAAGCTTTGTCGATTCGGGACTCACAGGAGATGAATACAGGAGAATTCGAAATTTGACTTACAAGAAGATACATGTGTCTAATAAATACGTGTATGTGATTATAGTTTAAGTTTGCTTTGTAATTTCATTTTGTTCGGATTGTTGTTGACGAGGGGAGCTAATAGGAGATTTGGTGGGAATTTAATATGTAGCACATATTATTCTTTTCATTTAATCACAACTATTACTGAGAAATTCAAAAATGGTCAGATTTACAAGTTGTCATTAAAAAATAGCCAGATTTACAAGTTGTCATTCAAAAATAGTCATAGTTTTAAAAATAATCGAAATTTAACCACTTTTCATGTAAAGATAAATCTGAACAAAAATACTGTTCAAAATTCGGAAAATACTCCAACATAATATACTGGAATTCCAGTATAAGTATACTGGAACTCCAGTATATTGGAACTGGAGTTCCAGTATAATATACCGGTCCAGCATAATATGCTGGAAGTTCATACACAGGTGCTCCAATCTCCAGCATATTAAACTTTTCGCGTGTTGGAGTTTCAATATAATATGCTGGAAGTTCATACACAAGTACACCGATCTCCAGTAAATTATGCAGTAACTTTTCATGTTGTAGTAAAATAATGGCTATTTTTCAATGACTTTGCAAACACTGACTATTTTTGAATGACCAGTCCGAAACTGCCTAGCCCATGCTATTTTTACCAACTATTACTTATCCATCTTGAGCTCGGGCCCGGCTAGCTCATAACTAGTACTATTATAAAAGGAAGAAAAGTACAACGGAAAGTAAAAGAGAGCAAGTTGGTAATTAGTACTACTATTTTCAGCATCATTCAGTCATATAGCTATTTGACAAAATATTTACTTTGTATGAGATAAAAATGTACATTTTATGTGAATATTAACCTTTTGTACAAGTTAGTGATTTACTTACATAATTTTTAGGTTGCTGGTTTGATCTTCATTTAATAAAGACTATTAACTATAGTTAGGTACTAAGTGATACAATAGTATAAACTTTATTTCGGCATATAAAAGTTAAACTTGTGTATCCATTATATTGTTTCTTTCCTCTTTTCTATTCTATTATATAGAAAAGGCTTGTTGGTCGGCCAACGGCATATATGATATTTTGCTCTGCTATTTAATTCTTTAGCTGTAAAACTGCTTTGCTTTCTTCCTAATATGTCCGACACAAATTCTAGAACTCTCCCTAGCTTTTACCTAATATATTCATTCATCATCTCAGCGATTTCAGGTAAACCCTTAATCTTGATTTAATCTTCTTTTTTACTTCTTCTCAAATTTGTCGATTTCATGCTGAACCCCATTGTTGCTGTTATTATTCATTTTAACTTTCTCTTCTCTGTCCTTGTTTATATTCTAAAGAAATTAGTGAAGGTCTTTGTGATGACCTTGTCATCACTTGTTTTAAGAACAAATTTTGTGTTCTGAGGCCTTAAAAACCTCTTTTTGTCTCACCTCGATTTGCATGCGCAGTCCGGACGCGTAGCCGGAAAGTCATTATGTGAAAATCTGTGAAAAATGATGAGTTTTGACTTTAAAATGAATTTAAGTTGATTTCGGTCAATATTTTGGGTAAACGGATCCGGACCCGTGATTTGACGGTCCCGAAGGGTCAGTATGAAAATATGGGACTTGGACGTATGCCCCAACCAAATTCCGAGGTCCCAAGCCTGAGAAATGAATTTTTAAAGAAAATTATTTTCTGGAATATTTATGAGTGTTTGAAAGTGAAATGTGTTTAAACCTTGATGGTATCAGGTCCGTATTTTAGTTCCGGAGACTTGTACAGGTCTTATATGTGATTTAAGATGAGTTTGTGAAATTTGGTAAGAAACGAACTTGAAATAACGTGAATCGGATCGTATTTGAGAAAATTGGAAAATTTGAAGTTCTTAAGAAATTGCATGATTTTGATGTTAAATCCATAGTTGTGATATTATTTTAATGATTTGAGTGCACGAGCTAGTCCGTATGATATTTTTAGGTTGGTGTGCATGTTTGGTTTGGAGCCCCAATGGCTCGGGTGAGTTTTAGATAGGCCACGGGGTGGATTTTAGACTTGAAAAATTGTAGGCTTCAGCTGTTTTATTGCAGGCCTGCAGGTTTCGCATTTGCGAAGTCTGGCTCGCAAATGCGAGGGCTGAGTCACAAATGCTAAACAGCCCAGGCCAGCCCTTCCTCGCAAATGCGAGATTTCCCTTCGCAAAATGCGATGCTCCCCATTTGGGCCTGTTATCGCAAATGCGACTGTATTTCACAATTCCGACTTTGCAAATGCGAAAGTTGCCTCGCAAATGCGAGCTTAGCAGAGTCTGGGTTCACAATTGCGAACCCAGATCGCAATTGCGATACCTGCAACCTGTAAGTTCATAATTGACGCATTTTCAACCATTTTTTACATCTTCTCAAAACATAAACCCTCTAGGGCGATTTTTCAAAGGCAACTTCTCTTTCTAATCGATTGTAAGTGATTTGTAACTAGTTTTCTTCAATACCTAACATCTTTTCACATGATTTCAACTCAAATTCAATGCTTTTCATGGGAAAAATTGAGTGTTTTGGGTAGAACCCAGGTTTTTCAAAAATTGGGGGTTTGGACCTCGATTTGAGGTCCGATTTCAAAATAAATTATATATTTGGGTTCATGGGGGAATGGATAATTAGGTTTTGGTTCGAACCTGGGGTTTCGACCATGTGGACCTAGGGGCGATTTTTGACTTTTTGGGAAAAACTCTGGAAAACTTATTTTCATGCATTAGAATTGATTCATTTAGCGTTTATTGATGTAATAAGTAACTTGTGGCTAGATATGAGCGAATTGATGGTTGAATCAAGAGGTAAAACGATAGTTGAGACTTGAATTGCGTTCGTGGCATCGAGGTAAGTGTTTGGACTAACCTTAGCTTGAGGGATTATGAGTCGAGTCCTATTTGCTATGTGGTATTTGTTGAGTGCGGCGTATAGGCATGGTGACAAGTATCTATACGTTAGTGTCAAGCATGCCCGTGAGTCTTATATTGTGATTATTATGACTTCGTTGTATTATTCATGCTTTGATGATGATTTCTATTGTTGGGCAAAGTTTGTGGAAGTAATTGTGACATTTGAACATTGAGGAGCATTGGCTTAAGTTGTATAATGAAATGTGAAAGTATAAGTGGTAATCGAATCTTTTAGAGAATTGGCTCAAGTTGTGAAGTAAAAGTGAGAAAAAGATGAGAATTATTAAGTGGCCTCCCTTGCTAGGATATTGTGGCTTTTAATGTTATCTCTCTTGCAAGGATGTTGATGTTTCTTTTGATGTTGTTCCCTTGCCGGGACTCGATCGTTGAACCGTTGTTCCCTTGCCGGGATTCTTATTGTAATTTCATTTATTTCCTTACCCTATTATTTGTGATTGTTGTTTGGGTGAGGAAGAGCGTTAAAGCACGAAGGGTGATGCCGTGCAATTTATATTGATTCTTTTGCTGAGGACGAGAGTAAAAGCGCAAAGGGTGATGTCGTGCACTTGTTTGATTCCTGATTTTTTTTGCTGATAGTTGACATATGGTGTTTCTTGTATTTACTCTCTGTCTTTCTACTTTTAATTGATGTTTCCTCGCAGTATGTTTCCCCTTCCCATTCTTGACTGTATATTACTGTTCTTCTTTTTCGCTGTATATAATTTAACTGCATAAGTTTATTTGGTAGTCTGGTCCTAGCCTCGTCACTACTTCGCCGAGGTTAGGCTAGGCACTTACCTACACATGGGGTCAGTTGTGCTGATACTACACTCTGCACTGTGTGTAGATCCCGGAGCAGCAACTTTTGGACCGTAGCTTGAGTGGCTACCTTCAATCCACACGGAGATCCAAGGTAGTCCTGCAGGCGTCCGCAGGCCCTGGCATCTCCCTCTATCCCTTTATCATGTTTCCTTTACTTATTTCAGAAACAGTGTATCTTTTATCTTTCAGACTTTGTATGTATTATCCTTAGACCGTTTGTGAAATTGTGACACCAGTTCTGGGTAGTCGATGCTCAAGCAGTTGTATTGGATACATATTCAGATAGTTCATTGCTTTTCTTCCGCTTATTTTAAATTCCATTGTCTATATGTTATTGATTCATAATTGTTAAAGAATATAACATGGGTAAAAAGGTAATTTATTTAAACAGTCGGCTTGCCTAGCTCACATTAGTAGGTGCCATCACGACTCCCGAGGGCGGAAAATCCGGGTCGTGACAAGTTGGTATCAGAGCTCTAGGTTACATGGGTCTTACAGTTCACAGACAAGCTTAGGAGAGTCTGAGGGATCGGTACAGAGATGTCTGTATTTATCCTCCAGAGGCTACAGAGTTAGGAAAAAATTTCACATTTATTCTTTCCTGCCGTGCGGTTTGGTTTCTCAATGCTAATTGAATTTCTACTCTATTGTTTCGCAGATGGCGAGAACACGCGTTTCCTCATCCATCGATCAGCAGCCTGAGCCCCCAGCAGCAGCTCCCACGAGGGACAAAGGGCGAGGTCGAGGCCGTGCTAGAGGCCGAGGTAGGGGCAGAGCTCAGCCCAGAGCAGTGGCACCAGCAGCGGAGCCTCAGGTTGACTTTGATGATGTGGTTCCGGCCCAGACAGTTCCAGTGGGCCCAGCTCAGGTCCCAGAGGGGTTTATTGCTACCCAGTACTCCAGGATACTCTGGTCCATCTAGTGGGCCTTATGGAGAGTGTGACCCGGGCAGGGTTGCTTCCTGTAGCACTAGCCATCTCTCAGGCTGGAGGAGGAGCCCAGACTCCTGCTACTCGCACTCTGGAGCAGATGGCTCCCCAGTTTCAGACTCCAGCCACTCAACCAGTTGGATCAGTTCAGCCGGGTGTGGTAGCTCAGACCGGTGATGGAGCAGCTATGTTTGTCGATGCTTTGTGGAGGTTGTATAGGTTCACCAAGCTCTTCACTACTACTTTCAGCGGTGCATCTTCTGAGAATCCCCAGGATTATCTAGACAGCTGTCATGAGGTTCTCAGGAACATGGGGATAGTAGAGACCAATGGGGTCGATTTTGCTACTTTTCGCTTGTCTGGTTCTGCCAAGACTTGGTGGAGAGATTATTGTTTGGCTAGATCAACCGGATTACCAGTTTTGACTTGGGAGTAGTTTACTCAGCTATTTCTGGAGAAGTTTCTCCCCATTCTCAGAGAGAAATCTATCGGAGGCAGT